GTAGCAAACACCTTTTTGCTCACTTGTTTTAACTGCTGCGACCACGACAAGGTAGAATCTAGATATATTCCCAGATTTTTTACAGATTTACTGTAGAGTATGACAACGTCATTTAGTGTCACCGAGGGTAGGTTGTTCCAGTCAACTCTGGAGACCATCCCTCCACCACCAATAACTATAGCCTGGGACTTGAACGGATTAATTTTTAGACCATAACGCTGACTCCACTGGTTTATCGCCGCTAGGTCATTGTTGATGGTGGCAACAGCAGAAGGCAGATTTAACAGAGTTGACTGAGTGTAGATTTGGAGATCGTCTGCATACATGTGATAGAGAGAAGTAATATTTTGAGAGATAGAATTAATGAATATAGCAAAAAGTAAAGGAGACAGCACACCACCCTGAGGCACTCCAGCCCGTAATTCGCACCAAGATGAGAACTCATCTTCGATGCGAACACGCTGCCGTCGGCCGTAAAGATAACTATGAAACCAGCCAATCACCGGAGGAGATATGTTAATAGAACGTAACACACTCAATAAGATGTCAAAATCAACAGTGTTAAACGCATTGCTAAAATCAAGCAATACTAACACAGTGAGCTGTTTGTTATCCATACCTCGTCGAATGTCATCAGTAACTTTAACCAACGCTGTTGTCGTACTATGACCCGATCGGAAACCAGATTGGAGAGGATCCAGGATACAATTTCTATTTAGGTAGAGATTTAACTGAAAGAAAACTAGTTTCTCCAGGAGTTTGGATAAAAACGGGAGAATTGAGATAGGACGAAAGTCGGAAAAATGCAAAGCATGGGGTTTTTTTGGGAGAGGCGTTACAAGTGCACTTTTCCAAACATCAGGAAATTTTGAAGAGGAGATGGATTTATTCAAGATATGGGTAAGGATAGGAGTAACAAATTCTAGGATAGGTAAGATCATGTTACGACTAACATTGTCATCACCCACGGCATTGGACGAGATGGACAAAATGTTCTTTTTAACATCACTATCAGTGAAAGGAGAGAAATTAAACGGTGGAAAATCAGGAGTTGGTATTGAAGAAAGAATACTCAGAGTCCGATCTTTATCTGAGCTATCTAATGTGCTAGAACAGGTGAAGTATTTGTTAAGGAATTCAACATCAACATTATGATGAGGAGAATTATTGGATGTTTTACCAACTCCAAGAGACTGAAGAAATTTCCAAACTTTGGCTGCGTCGCCGTTTTCGACGGATTTATGAATATGGCGTCTTTGTGCATCCCTACACAATGTATTGCAGCGATTCCGTACTTTATTATAATATCGTAAGTTTTTCTCAGATTTATCAGCTTTTAACTTACTTTTAGCAAATCCTTTTTTTATAATAAGTTTTTTTAGACTATCAGTTAACCAAGGTGCAGGTAAATGTTTCATTTTTATTGATTTTACTGGGGCATGGATGTCATAAAGTTGGATAAGAAAGGAGTTAAATAACTCAACTTTCAAGTCGACTGTTGAAGCATTTTCAACAGCTGACCAGTCCATGTGACGAGCATCTTCCAGAAGACGTTCTTTGTCCATTCCACCAAAATTACGTTGCAGAAGAATTCTGGATTTTGCTTTAGGAGGACGAACTTTGTATGCAAGAAACAAGAGATCATGATGAGAGAAAAGATCAGCGTCATGCTGGCCATGCTTCAGGACAAAATCTGGAGAGGATACAATAATTAAGTCAAGTAGTGATGGAGTACAGTCAGGCATTTTATGCGTAGCAGATAGTGGTAATATATGTAGATTACATGCCTCGGTTAATGATTTTAGCTTTTCACACCGATAGTCACCCTTGAGTAGGCATGTGTTTAAGTCACCCATGATTATAGTGTGAGTATATAATGGGATTAAATTATCTAATAAAAATTCGAAAGAAGAGAAATAGTCAATATGAAGAGAAGGACTGTAACAAACGCCAAGAAGAATTTTCGTATTGGATAGGGTTACTTCAATGAAGAGATGCTCAGCCGCATTAGAAGGAGATGGTTGGGGGGACAAACTTACTACCGCAAAAGGTAAATAAGAACGGAGATAGATTGCCACACCACCACCCCCCCCCCCCCTTCCAATACGGTCGTTGCGAATAAGATGGAATCCTGGTAATGAATAAGAAGTGGATGGCAAGCATGGTTTCAACCAAGATTCAGAGACTAGAATGGCGTGAACGTTATGGGATTCAAGGGACGCAAGCATGTCGGGATAATGAGCCGGAATGCTTTGGGCATTTATATGAATTACATTAAAGTTACAAAGATAAATTAACTTTAATGTAATTCATATAAATGCTTTGGGCATTTATATGAATTACATTAAAGTTATAAAGATAGTCTACTTAATAAAAAAATCATTAAAATCGGTTCACAATCTGAGAAGATATCGCATAACATACATACAAAAAACTTTTTTTTCGAATTGAGAACCTCCTACTTTTTGAAGTCTGTTAAAAAGGAGTGGATCAAGTCGAAATGCTTGGTAAAAGACAAAAGTTACGATCGAAGAGCATATTATCACCAGGCAACACTGTTTATCTATAACAAGTACGGTGGATGAAGCTAGTTACAAAGTATTTCTTCTTCTCCTTGGTCGTATTTTTCATGACTGAAGTTTAGTGCCTTCGTAGCGCTGTTCACTATAGCCCTCCATTCTGTCCGGTCCTCGGCTTTTCGCATTGCAGTCGTAAATGAAAATATAAATGAAAGGCCAAATAAAAAAAGGAAAAATATGAAATGAAAGGCCAGTAAGTGATTTGACCTAGTCCGACCAACGGCTAGATGATCATCCGCGTGGTCTTTTGCCCCTCACCTACGACTATAAGTCTTTAATAAAAATAAAAATGAATACCCAAAAGTTTTACCAAATAATGTATATTTTACATTACACAAAATTAATAAAATTTTACTCAATTAATTTGATTAAATCTATGATTACAAAAATAAATGTCCTAATCATACTTTAAAATATATAAACAATAATTCATCTGCACGTTATCATTATTTTATAAATTTGATTCATACAATTTTATTGTATACCTACTAAAAAAGAATATTTACAATGAATAAGTAATGGAAGACTTACAGTTAATTGACTTCGAATGAATTTACTTAGATTAGTCTTAAATAATGTCATGTTAATTAGCTACCGTGAAATGATCCCATTGTTTAGCACATGACAAACTAAACTGCAGTAAATGATGCGTTCTAAATGAATAAAATGAAATACAATTTACAATATTCTTAATAAATAGTTTGACGTATTATGTCGTCATATAAATGATCAGTTATTTTTCAACAATCATTTGAGCACCGCGAAGCATCAACGTCAGCACTTAAACATATTGTTATAATGACGAAAATTAAATTTATCACAATTAATTAAATTTACGTAATATTTTATAGTACATTTTTATTTAAACAATTAACCGGTTATAAAAATGACAATTGTTGCTATTAAAACTTTGTCTATTTTAAGTTTTTAAGATTTAATGAACATCTTTATAGCGCATCAAAAAAGGCACTATAAGAAATAATAATGAAGGTCGATTCAATATTTTTGTAGTATGAATTATTATACCTTAAATTTCGTTTTAAAAAGATCTTTAACGATTTAAACAAAATATTTTATACATTATTTGCAAAGTTATCTAAATATATATTATTATGTACACAACGTATAATCTTTAATAGGGTATAAATATGTCAATATTACTCTGGTAACGTCATTTTGGTACTCCGGTCACCCTGTTATGTAAAGCTTACTAGCGTGTGGTCATGTACAACTTGGCCAAAACAATTAGACATATGACAGGAATGCGGTTTCGGCGCCCGCACCCCGCCTCTATCCGCGTGCTTCTCCTAGTGACCAATCACCGTTCCGGTGTTCCCTCGCTAGTTCTAATGACGTCTTAGCTGTTATGCGTCTAATTGTTTTGGTCACGTTGTATGCAAGAATATTTGTTATTCATGATTGTTTTTAAAATATTCTACACTCATAATATGCGTGGGTATCATTATTATGTAAAAAACATATCGTCATTATTCGGAATGAAATAGTATGACTGAATAAATATATGATTTTAACATACGTATAATTGTTGTTTTCATGCGTAAGAATGGTCGGTTATTCTATAAACTTAATTTGAATGCGACGAAATAATTTATAATAGGATATTCTTACATATAACGATTACCATTGGCAAGCGCTGTAGCTTATGTTAATGGCATAACAACATTCAGCTGTCTAAAAACTTTAACTTAATGAGAAAATAGTTTAAATTTCTAAAATATGCGCTTTACAGACTAAATAAGAGATGTATATATACATATCCATTGCTCAAAAATTATTATTGTCAACAAATATTTTTAGGTATAGTTTTAAAATAAGTCTGTTTAGTCTGTAGATCGCTTTTAAATAACAAAGATATTCGATTAACTACAGTTCCATTAAGTAATAAAAATAGCAATAATTCGACTAATTGACTGACTAAACAAGTATCTAACTAATAATCGTATATCAACAAATAGGAGATATAGTTTTCTCGCTTACTGCGATATGCTTCTTCCATTCTTATTTCTGATCTAGTGACGGCACACATTACTAAAAATACACTGTAAAGTTTATATATCGATCGAAATTAGCATATACTTGCCAAATAAGAGAATTTTTAATTCTCTATTATTTTAATATTACTATAAAATAATGCCAGTTAGAAGATTAGGCACTTAAAAAATCATTTAATTTAAAATGATGTAATACTCAATTTTAAACAGTTGTGTAACAATATAGTGTGTTAATCCAAGCGAAAAATAAAGCAACAATTTATAATCCATTTGCACGAATTTTTTTTTTATTTGTACGATTTTACTTGGAAATTAATATGCATAGCATATAGCATAGAGCTTAGTGTGTCGTGCCTAGCGGAATAAAAACGATAGCGTATTTCCGAGTCCAGTTAGACCTGGATGAGGATTAGAAGGTGGCGTCCCATCCAGAAAGGTCGTCCGGCGGCGGCTCGTCGGCGTCGGGCGGGTACTGGTCGAAGTTGTGCGTGTCCAGCGGGGACTTCACCACGGGAGTAATGGGCGGCTCCAGAGTACGCTGCGCCAGACCTTCCCAGTTGAAGCCGTCGAACCATCTGGAGAGAAAGGAGATATTCGTTGAGAGAATACATAATGATCATAACGTTCTTCTTCTATAACATTAGAATGAGAACGAGATAACAATTCATCTATTGGTCCGTAGTTACTGTAGCTCTTGGACACCTGCGACCAACTTCAAGCAAAAACGTCCAGGATTCCGAAAGGATAAAGTGAAACTCCTTAGAGCTAATTCAGGTTTTATCCTTTTAAGTTTTCAGACAATGTGCACGGAGCACTGCTGCTTGTAGTCGTCAGAAACAGGGGAACGAATGTATAAGATCTTGGAAAAAGTTTCTTCTTATTTTATATACAAATTCAAGACATTTTTTTCAAAGTTTAATTACATTTAATTATAGAATATAATTATGTGCCATATAGTTTGATAACTTGTTCCTATCTTGTAGGTAGTGACATAATCCCGTTGCTGTAGAAATCTTGGGATTTTTGATCAAAAATGCGACAAGTAGTTTTGACAGTCCTCTCTTGATCTTAACACAACACTATCCAAAGAATTCTGAAGAACCCGTAACAAGTGAAAATCTAAGGGAACAAGGTCAGGACTATATGGTGGATGCATTAACACTTCCCAACCAAACTATTTCCACTTTTGCTATGTGACCAAATATGTGTGTGGTCTGGCGTTATCTTCATGAAAGTCCACTCTTTTTCTGTTGATCAATTCCAGCCGTTTTTTCTCAATTTCTTGCTTGAGTGTCATTATTTATTGGTAGTAGAGATTCGAATCGATGATTTTGCCTAGCGGTAAAAGCTCATAATAAACGATACACTTCCTATCCCACCATACACACAGCATCACCTTATTGCGTGTTAATCCGGGTTACACTACAGTCTGTGGAGCTTAACTACCCTTTGACCATGATCTTTTTCGCACGTTCTTGTCGTAGGTGATCCACTTATCATCACTAGTGATCAATCTTTTCAAAAATGGTTCGGTTTCATTACGTTTCAATAGAGAATCGCAAATGAGTACATGATACATTAGGTTCCTTTCAGTGAGCTCGTGTGGTACGCAAATATCGAGCTTTTTGTATAGGCAGTTTTTCAAATGGTTCAAAACTGTTTTGTCTACAATCTTCAATTTCTCCGCTATGTCGTAACGATGAATATTCCGATCTTGCTTTACTTTTTCAAAAATGGCGTCTACTTTATCCGTATGATAAACGACCGGCGACCAGAGCGAGCTGCATCTTTGACATCAAAATTCTCGGACTGAAAACGCTTGAACTTGACATTGCATTAGATCCATAAACGTCACACATTTTTTCGCGGCTTGAGTCACATTTTTTCACTTTTTTGTAATAAAACTTCAGAATGTATCGAATTTCTTCGTTAGATTCAGTACATTATACTTCAATGTAGATTCATTAATTTTTGGCGGACAGAAAAACAATTGCAAAATGGCGGGAAAGTGTTTTTTTAGTTTATATTTTTCTTTGTCTTGATTTCCTATAAACCAGCCAGATATAAAGAGTACAACCAAAGAGATTTTTCTTCAATGTTATACAAACAAAATACGAAGAAACTTTTTCTCCAAACTATTATATCAAGCAGAAAAACTCCTAAGCATAAAAGGAGCCTTAGTAGTAGTACCTTCTTGCTCTTTATCAACGCATAAATAGTTCATAGCAGGGTGTGGACCTCATTCAGCAGATAACATTGTTTCCTTTAGTACCTACTAATATTGAAAAAAAAAGATTTAAGTTTCGTTTTCAAAAATCGTTAAGTTTGAAAACCGGTTTTCCGAAGAAAGTATCAGACAGCCCACACCTTAAACCTCAGCGAGCAGTCGAAATAATCTCACACAATCTCATGTGGGGGAGAGGGAGGATCTCAGCAAATATCACGTAAATTGTTTTCCGCAAGAAACAGTGTAAAATTTCGAGAAACTTGGATTTAATTAAGTGAAATATGGCTAAATCCAACACAATAATATTTAACGTGGTTATGCAAACTCCACAACTTATATAAAAATAATTAAGCATAATATTCTGTTTTTTTTTAATAAATTCAGAATGTGAAATTATTGAAATATTATGATGTAATAATAATAATAATTATTATTATTATTATTATTATTATTACATCATAATATATCAATGATCCTAAGGGATGGCACCGTCGACATCTGCCGAGCTTGTCGCCATCTCGGTGAATCACTTACGCATGTCATATCTGGTTGTTCGGCGCTTTCTAACTCTGAGTACTTGCACAGGCATAACCTAGTAGGCAGGAATCTACACCAGGAGCTCACTCTGAAATACGGTCTCGTGGCTCGGAAACAGCCTTATAATAAGTACTTGCCGGAAGCAGAGCTCGAGCGCCAGGCTCTACTGGGACCGGGCCATCATCACAAACGGGACTATTCTTGCGAATAAGCCTGATATTGTGCTGATGGACAGGGAAGAGTCAAGGATATTTTTGGTCGACATTACCATTCCGTATCACAAGAACCTCGTGAAAGCCGAAACAGATAAGCGAACAAAATATCTAGACCTGGCTCAAGAGATGACCGAAATTATTTCTATGGTGGTTTCTGCAAACGGGCTAATCCCAATCAGCCTCTCAGGTCATCTGAGGCGACTGGGACTCCGCGACGAACCGCTCCGGACTCAGATGCAGAAGGCGGTGTTCCTCGATACCACCCGCATCGTTCGCCGGTTTCTTTCCCTTTCTTCCTAACCATCGGCCGTATGGTCTCCCCTGCCGAGGGCGTCGGGTTTTTATTTATTTATGTACTTTTATGTATATATTTTATTTTATTGATATTTATGTGAAAGAGTGACAAAACAAATTTATGTTGCAGAAGTGAACGGCAGGGTCGGGAAGGGACGCCCTAGACGAAGGTTTATCGACCAGATCGGCGATACATTGAAAATGGGCCAGATTAGGAGTACCCTTAACCGACGAGCGTGTATGCGTAGATATATGGATGTGAAAGAGGCGAGAGAGGTGTGTCAGGATCGCGCCAAATGGAAGTCCGTAGTCTCTGCCTACCCCTCTGGGTGACAGGCGTGAGTGTTTATGTGTGTTATGTGATATTTATGTATATTTATCATTTTTATTTACATTTATATATTTATACAGCCCAACCAGATGAGAAAACTATATAGATATCACACAATAATAATAATAATAAATCTTATTCTGATTCCGTAACCATTTCCTTGCTGCAGACAAATGTTAATATGATTTCTTAATTTATATATTGCTTAGTGGTAATTTTATTGTGCGGTATTGTGTTGTGGCTATGAATACATTTTATTTTCTGCCTACTTCCAAAAAGGAGACGGTACTTAATTCGACTGTATGTTTTATTTATGTGTGTTACCTCATAACTTTTTACTGGGTGAACCGATTTGGATAATTCTTTCTTTATTTGAAAGCTGGTACTTCTCATGTGGTCCCATATAAATTTTGATCTGATTTGTTTGATAAGATTTGATCAAGGTCAGACCAATAGTATTTGAGTTATTCTTAATAACGTATATTGAAGTCGGCTGTACAAAATTTTTAATTTTAAATTATCTTTTTTATCTATATTTTGATACCCAATCAATGATAGATGTGGGTATCTATGGGTCACAGCATCCACGTACCATCAGGTAAACAATGTGCTCGTTTGTCATCCTTATTCTATAAAAAAAAGCTATAACTCACTTGTGCTTCTGAATCTCAGTAATGCCTCCTCGCTGGTAACCAAGTCGCTCAGCTGGGTTGTCCCTGCAGAGTTTTTTAATCAGATTGGCCGCGTTACGTGTGATGCATCGTGGGAACTCGACCGCGTCAATACCTTTCAGGATCTTATTGTACGTCTTCATTGGATCAGCACCCGTAAATGGCGGAGATCCGGTGAGAAGTTCGAACATCAGGACACCTGTTGATGATAATAATTTTCAGGTGAAATCAAGTGATAGTTTGTGAAATATTTTGATAATTTACTTGTTAAGTTATTGTTATTTTTAAGTTATTAATTTCTTACCAATGCGCCACTACGTGTGATATTTCATTTATTTTTTTTTTACAAACTATTCAAATATATTCCCCTACGAATTCCTTGTAAGACCCATTACTTTCGTCGCGTGTTAAGTTTTGTAGCAATTATATTAAAATGTAGTTAATTTTAATTTATTATTATTTTGGTTAAGACTGGCCGTTTATTATTAAAATGCCTTTACACTTATAGAATAAATTTTGTTAATTTACTCTATAAAAATTTAAGACTTTAATTAGCTTGTTACTTCATCTACTGGTGTAGATTAGGTCTCGCACAATGTAGAAAGGATATATTGTAATTGCTAATCGTCGTAATGCCAATGAGCGAATCTGTACAAGATAACCCCGCCCCCTTCCGTTGTTAGACATAGCTTAGTGTTTTACCAAGGTAATTATACGAGGTGGTTTTACCGCCATATATCAGAAACTGATATTTCTGGCATTTCCCATATATTTTTTATTTTTATAGTACTCACAGGTTCTTTCTTTATCAAAAATAAGGGTGACAAGCGAGTACACAGTCCACCTGATGGTAAGCAGTTGCTGTGGCCTATAGACTTCTACATCTATCACCAATAAAGAATCAAAATGCAGATGCGTTGTCACCCGTGAGGACTAAGATGGAATGCCTCACAGTAATATTATACTGGCTCTCTATAACCTTCATACCGGAACTTAGCAGTGCAATCATTGCTATTTGGCGGCAGATATAGGTAAAAGGGTCTCCGGTGCGGAGGTAGTAAATATTCTTGCACCGCCACCTAACCTCAGGATGAGTTGATGGATTATTTTATGCCGCCAAAATTTAACTGAATATTTTAGCACGAGCATTTAATCTTAGTGTAAAACTGCTTAATAGCGTTATCAATATTCTAAAAACGTAAGTATTTAGAGTGTTTATTGATTAAAAAACAATATTTCTTACCCAAAGACCAATAGTCCGCGCTAATATCGTGTCCCCTGTTCATAATGACTTCTGGCGCTACATACTCGGGCGTACCGCAGAAAGTCCATGTTTTGCGACTGGCTTGTAATTTCTTAGAGAATCCAAAGTCCACTAGCTTCACGTAACCCTTTGAGTCCAATAGCAAGTTCTCTGGCTTGAGATCTCTGTAACATGTTACTTTTAAATTTAACAAATCGTACTTTAATTAAAAAATATATTTAAACGGCATTAATTTTATTAAAAATATACATAGAATTATCAACCCCTTTTATTAGATTCGTTTTGTTCAGTATATTATTATCCTGTTGTAAAAAAAATCTAATAAAGTATCGGGTAATTCGGAAAAGTACCAAACCTGCTAACACATGTTTAAAGTACTACTATTTTGTTGATATTAAATGATATCATTACATATTATGATATCATGATATTGAATTGTTGACAATTTTCCTACTATCACCAAATAATATCACTTTCAGATCTAACGTATAAATAAAAATGTGTAGGTCATTGAAGTACCTAATATGTACTACGTTCGTAAGTACGATGATGTAAGTACATATTATTGAACCATATAAAAGAGAAAAAGAGAAAGTTACCTATAAATAATATTCCTTGAGTGTAGATAGTGGAAAGCTTCGACTACACATGCGGTGTAGAATCTTGTAGTGGCGTCGTCGAATTGACCTGAAATTAAATAAAAATCGTTCACTTAGATTTTCTAGATCATTGGAGAAACTTGTGATTTGAAGGAACTGAAACAAAGTACTGTTTCAGTTCCACAATTACTCACTGATGAATGAACCACGAATGCGCAGACGCACGCACGTACGCTTAGTTTTTTTCCCCAAAAAGGGCAACCCTATTCGGTACAGGAATTTAAAGATAAAGCTTATGTAAAAAATTGATTTAATTTCTATTGTTATTATGTTTTTGCTTTCATAAACAAATACTTAGATTTGAAATTATTATTAAAATTACCAATTTCAGGAATCAAATTTTAAAAAATAATTCCGGCTATGAAGGCTCCGTAGCGCAGTGGCTAAGCGTTTCTTCGTGGCGCTACAGGGCCCCGAAATCCTTCCAGATCTAGATGTGTGTTCTTGTACAATATGTATGTTAACCGCCTCCACGATACTGGAGAAAACCTACTGTGGGTTTGACGATCTTTTATAAAAAGAAAGAAAAAATCGTCTAGATCTAATTTTTTTATGATATTCTAATAAACTAATATAATTTTTTTGTTATTAATGGTGAATATCGCAAAAGCGCAAATGGTGAATTCTGCAATCTGCAAAATTTAGGCATAAATTATATAGCGAAGTTCCTGCTACAAAAATCAATGTTGATGAAAAAAATTTATGTAACAGCCTTTTGACGTTTCATTTCAACGGATTTTACTTTCCTTTTTCTGCCGACTTCCAAAAAGTAGACGGTACTCAATTCGACTGTATGTTTTTTTATGTGTGTTACCTCATAACTTTTTACTGGGTGGACCGATTTCGATGATTCTTTTTTATTTGAAAGCTGATACTTTTCGTGTGGTCCCATATGAATTTGATCAACGTCAGACCAATAGTTATTAAGTTATTCTTAATAATTTATATTGAAGTCGGCTGTACAAAATTTTTTATTTTAACTTATTGTTTAGCATCACTACTGTAATACCGAGTGCATAGACTGAGTCTAAAGAGCGTTCGGACCACGCTCAGTCAAAAATGTGTGTTTAATAAAAATTTGTTAAAGAAGTTATAGTTGTCTAGACCATTGCCTACACCATGACAAACGCCATATCGTTTAGCGTTAGTATTTTTAAGATATGCTAAGCGATTAACAAAAGTGGTATATTATTTATGTTATGAGCCCCACATGGGAACTATAAATGGAAGACCAACATGGGATATGCCTTTTATTTCTTTATTTTATTTTAATTGTTTTTTTTTTATAGTATCGAGTGACAAACGAGCACACAGTCCACCTGATGGTAAGTGGTTGCTGTGGCCCATAGACATCTACATTTATCCTCAATAAAGAATCAAAAAGCAGATGCATTGTCACTCGTGAGGACTAAGATGTAATGCCTCTTTTCCAGTAAAAAGGGTCCCCGGTTCTCTACACTCACCATACGAAACACAGCAGCATTAAGCTGCTATTTTACGCTGGTACGCTGTGAGAGCGTGGTCCTTCCCCGGTCGAGCCGACCCATTCGTGCTACAACTTATAGCTGCAGCATAGCTCTACCACGTAAAAATTGTTTTCTTAACGTTCGAAAGTACACACTTAAGGCACACGCTCGAACATACAGATAGAAATTATTTCGCAAACAGTTAAATTAGAAACGTGGAGATGTGTTGCAATTTGAATTATTAAATATTGAAGATATTGTCATAACCTATAATTTTACACTGACCTCTATCTCTCAAAATCGTCCATAGTTCTCCGCCTAGACATGTCTCCATGAGCATGTACAAATACTTCCGATCTTTGAACGTCTTGTACAGTTTTACAATAAATTCGCAGTTCATTTCTGACATGATCTCCTTCTCGGACATTATGTGCTGCTGCTGTCTAGTCTCCACGATCTGAGCCTTCTTCATCTGTTTCAGCGCAAAGGAACGACTGGAATCGCCCTGTATTTGGACTAGTTCTACTCTACCGAAGCCGCCTATACCGAGGGTGGCGATGATGCGGAGATCTGAGAGACGTAAGTTGGCAAATTCTTCGTTTAGCCTGAAATCAAGTAAATATTTAAATTTTTTTAAATTGTTTTATAACCCTCAGTTTAAAACATACTTTGTTTACAGCACAATAACACACTACAAACGCAATAAATTATTATAATGTTTACAAATGTAATGAACACAATACAATTGTACTTAACTTATTTAAACAGATGTTTTTAAAATTTAAAATATTTTTTTCAACTCTAGTAGAAATAAACGAAGTAACAATTTGACAGTTTTATTCGACTTTTGTTTATATTTTGACCTCAAATTTCACTTTATATCATACATTAGTTAACAGGGCTAGAACCTGAAGAAGTACTTGACAGATCAATTTGTGCTATAAAACGAATTAGGTTTTCAGGTCTGGTTGTATTGTGATCGTCCGCATGTCTCTTGCAACATACCCGTAGATACTGAACTACCTCTGATCTTATGTCTTATTATGCTTAACATCGGTCACGGGTAAGTTTGTGCAAACGTCCGGAATTTTTTGTTTCCGATTAGTTAGAAATTGTTGTTGTGTGCGAAAATCAAGCGAGAGGGCATCACACAATAACGCATAAAGTATTTTATTACTTTAAAAATATAAGTCACATAATTTTCGATTTTTAAATATTAATTATGCATTCTTTTGGCGGGAATATTGGTTTACAAAACAAGATCTGATTTTATAAAATTTTAATTTGAACTAATTTAATTTAATTCAAATTGGCAGTAATAATCGTAGAAAAATGAATAAAAGGATATAACAAAGTGATAAAGTGGTCACCGTTAATACAGTATTTACAGTTTATACATGTAATCATAGATTAATGATAAGTCATCGCACGCTCTGACTAGATACCGCCGGCGCTCATGTAAAATGCGGCAACAAATACTACGCCGAAATCCGAAGTAAAATACCAGTTTACGTATTGAAACTGTGTAAAAATAATACTACAAGAAATAAGAAAGACACTGGAATCAAAATCCCAAGATTTCTACAGCAACGTTTATATTTTATTATGGCACTACCTACAAGATGGTAACAAATTATCGAACAGAATGGACCCATATATATTATAATTAAATGTAATAAAACTTTAAAACAAAAACGTCTTGAATTTGTATACAATATACGAAGAAACTTTTTCCCCAGTCTTATATACTAACTAAAGGTGTACCGAAATAGTACTTAATAACTTAGGGAATGATTCTGCCCGTCAACATGAATATTTTTTATTATGGGATCATCTTCGAAATTTTCAATTTATACGTGATAGACCCATACTTTTTTTTAAATAAAATTACTAGTAATGCTATTAAACATTACTAATATTCCCTTTAACCACTTCTGGTAAGCTTAAAATGCTTGTGTTAGAAGTGGTTCACGACAATAGTCGAATGGCGGATTCGAGCCCACGACCTTTGGAGTTCGAGGTCCGCGTCCTGCCATTAGGCTACTGACGCTTTTATACTGCAGCTATATTACTGGTATAGTTGTAGCACGAATGGGTCAGCTCGACCGGGGACAGACCACGCTCTCACAGAATACCAGTGTAAATTAGGAGCTTAACACTGCTGTGTTTCCTATGGTGAGTGTAGAGAACCGGAGACCCTTTTTACTGGAAACGAGGTATTCCATCTTAGTCCTCAGGGGTTGCAACGCATCTGCATTTTGATTCTTAACCGAGGATAGATGTATATGTCTACGGGCCACAGCAACCACTTACCATCAGGTGGACTGAGTGCTTATTTGTCACCCTGATCCTATAAAAAATATCTCAAAGTCAGTAATTCCATATAAAACTTCGTACAAACTTGCTCAAAATGTATGGAAGACCTGATTTTTCTTGCGATTAGGAAGATAGATCTATAGTAAAAGTTGTTCATATTGACGCGTAGAATAGAAAGCACTATTTTCATAACACCATATGTATAACTATTTTTTAAATAATTTGTGAATATTAGTTAGACATGTAAATAAAAAAATTAATCTGATAAAAATGAGGCCTTATCATTTATATGACATTTATTCATAAGAAAAACCTATACATAATATACAAAAATATTATGTATTCGCTATTAATAAATTATTCATTTTTAAGTATTTCTGGTCTACATTCATAACTATGAACTTAACTACTAAGTATGGCTTAAAATAAATTTTCCCGTTAATCGGGTAATAGTTAAGCTGCTGGCATATACAATTTTTCACGCACACTAGCATCATGCAAATTGTCTTATATACACTACAATATTAAGATGCCGCACTCACGGAGCTGTTATTTGCAGGGAGCGCGGTATCTAGTCAGAGCGCGCGATGACTTATCATTAATCTATGCATGTAATATTTCGTTAAAGTAAGATTGTTTTCTTCGCTATTAATTAAAATTAATGAATTTCTTTCATTTTCCACGATATCCCCTTATTGCAGAATGAAATGCATTAAATGGTACTTACTATTTCTTTGGTACATATTGTACGCAAAGTAAACGAGATTGCCAATTCATATTACAATATTTGATGAATAGTAAGAATTTAGCACAATTACGCAATAATTGAAATTTAGCGACATGTGCAGACAGCACGTTATGTGTCTGTACCACATAAACATGTAAAAAATTTTGGTTATGTTTTAGAATAGGAATCATATTAGAGAATTTCCTAAGGCATTGTTATTAAAAAACTAACTGTAACATTTAATATCAACCAATCATAACATTATGTTCTAAAACACTACAAATTATTACGACTGTGGTGGTTCTTATTGAAAAAAATAATAATTTCAATACTCCATATCAAAAACCAAAGAGGAAGTTAATAAATCTCTTCGAATATTATACTTTGATCATTTTAAAATTTCAACGCTTATTAACAGACAGTGAAAGTGTAAAATTTTATTATTATATTTTCTGTTTGAGAAACGCAAATGTTGTTAACTTACCGTATTGAAACGAATCCGATTGTTTGCATTAAAGAAAAATATAACTGATTAATGCAAGACCAAGAAATTTGAAGCTACAACGAAATGTGAAATGTATGTTTCGCAATAAAATTAAGATGTAGAGTAACACAATAGTGTTGTGGTTGCATTCAAACGAAATCAATTGTTGTGCATCTATGTGCGTGGTAATGCGTATCAAACGCGATTTAGTTTCGGTTTTAGTGTGAACTTGACAGAGGAAAATTACAGGTGATGACGATCGGACACGACACAGTGATTTATGAATAAATAATTGTCACAGTATAACAGATAGCAAGTGTTTTGTGGTCGTATAAAATAGTTTTTTAAATAATGAAGATCATCAAACATTTCGTTGTCTGCGTTGATGCATATAAATCCGAAAGATAACCGGTGTCATGATTATTTAAGCTTTGGATATTTACAAAAAAGTTTATTTAAGGCACAGGTTTCTTTAAGAAGTATATTGTATATTCTGGAACCACAAATATAAAACACATGTGAAACAAATTGACATTAAAAACCTTTATCGTATTTGGTTTTTAATTGTATAATACATTATTTTTTAGTAGTTATATGCAACAGTGCGTCAATATCACAAACAGTTTAATCGATTTTGTTGGACTCTACATTTATTATTTAGTCTATGACAGGTCAAAATCCGTAAGACTTTTGACAAATTGAATTATTATAAAGTTAGGCATCTAAGAAACAATTAGTTTGAGTTTGAATATGAAATATCGACTAATTAGACAGTTCATTTCGAACAAAACTTTCAACTCTCCAGGAGATAAAACAGTTTAGTTACTCTCATTATATCAAAAATAACATACTTCTGTCGGCTGTCGCCTTCGTCTTTGTATTTGGTACGAATCTCGTCTAATGTCGAGATCAGCTGGTTGAAGGTCTCGCGGTCGATGACAAGACACGTGGTGCCTTCAGGCGAATCGCAAATGATGTTTGCCGTTCGTAGGTCATCCCTGGAATAAAATAATTAAAAAAATTAAAATATAACTTGTACTTTTAGTAAAAATATAGTGCGTCATGAATATATAATAAGCATATAAATAGTTTAGCATAGGTTCTGCTTACCCTTGCAATGCCTTTTCCCCGAAGAAATCACCCTTTGTAAGTGTTCTTATGAATTTCTCATCGTTGCTGTTCGGTGGTTTTTGTGTGACTTTGACCTGAAAACAAATATTAAAGCAAAACAAATATTAATTTAAATATAGACAAAAAAGGACACTGTGAAATGATTGTGCCTATAACTTCGTTTAAACTTAAAATTAATGATAGCTTTCAAACCTTTTGAAAACTGAAAATTGCAATGTATCCTAACCGGCAATCCATTATAAGTACGTATGTTGCACAAAATAGGATTCTAACCAGTTATATTAATGTTAGTAAGCATTCCTCAAAAAAATAACTAAGCCGTATTATAAAAAACAAACACAAGAAAGTTACGCCTTAGGTCTTTATAGTACATATTAGAAAGACCAGACTTCACATCTGCGGTACTAGGAAAGTTGGCGTTCGAGTGTATCGGTATTACTGAGCTACCTTTCCATAAAGTGGACCATCAACTTGCCGCTTAAGTAAAAACTCGAAGCGTAAGAAGTATCTCTTTAGCTTGAGACATCTCTAAAAGAAAGCGCAATAAATATCGCATTTAAATATTTTAATAAAGCAAAACCAGTGGAACTTGGTTAATTTTTTTTTATGGAATATGGATGACAAACAGGCAAAGAGTCCACTTGATGGTAAGTGAATGCTGTGGTATTAAGAATCAAAATGGAAAATGCGTTGTCATGCCTGAGGACTAAGATGGAACCCCTCATTTCCAGTAAAAAGGGTCCACCATATAAGTACAACACAGATGCTATTTCACGCTGCTATTCTGTGAAAGCTTGGTCCTTCCCCGGTCGCACCGAACCATAATACAACTGCAGCGTGATTCTACCACGTATGAGTTTTTCATAACTTCACGATTTTTATTTATAGTTCAAAAAATCAAATTTAAACGCTTTATAAACTTTAGCAACATTTTCACCAAATATCAAGTTATTTGAAAGTTTGTTTTATTTTAATCTATAAACTTGAAAAGTTCTACGTTAATAATTTTATCAATGAAACTAACGTCTATATACAAATGTGAAGTCAACGTAAGATCTTTTCATCGTCACCATCGTCATCGTTATCACCATTACAGCCTATATTAAAGTCCACTGCTGTTCATAGGCCTTCCCTTGTGGCAATCTAATAGAGGGTTTTATCTGCCATAGTTTCTAGGTTGCTAAGCTTGACATGCAGGTGACAACCAGGTTTTTTTTATTAATTCTAGTTGTTATCATTTGTTATTTCAGTCGCCCTCTATCGCCTCTTGAGACACTCACGGGATGATATGGGGTATTGCATTCTCTAGAGATTCCATACGGAGAAGTGTATGGTATAAGCCCGATTTATCAATAATATACAATAAGATCGGAAATAGGCCAGGATGTCGTGTCAGACACGTGAAAACAACCATACCTGAAAGTTGGTAATTTAGGTTTTGCACAAATGTTAAATCCAGCTCGGGACCTGACCCACGACCAGCGGCTAATACTATGACTACTAGGCCACTCAGTCTTTCCATAATATAAAACTACTTTATTTGATGATGACGACAAAAGTTGCAGACAATTTTGTTTTAAATATCTGTCCATGCTACTTTTATAATTTCAAAGTTACAAATTTCAATTACATTGATTGCAATTAATATAACATAAGAAACATAAATAAATTATAAAAATGATTCTGATGGTATAATATGCAAAGGCAAGGCGTTGTTACAAATAAAACCATAAATTGTTTTTTTTTTAATTCGCATCACACTCCTTCTAAATATTAAATGTTGATTAAGCAAATATTGTTTCCAGGAAATCTTAACGGACCCCGTAACAAGTTTCCAAGCTAACCAAACATTTAAGAGGGCATAAAAAACGATAAACAACTGTGATATAACAACGGAAGTGGTATGAGATAACCCTACTCGGAGCAATAGTTACTTAACGTGAGGCTGGACAGATAATAAAAACCAAACAAGTGGTAAAATGTTAAATTTTGTATTATAATACTTAGTTTTCAACCGCCTTCAAAAAAGTTACATCAGAATAAATCGCTGAGGACATTGAATTGTTCACTTTCTTTTAAATGCACTTATGATTATGCACATTCGGTTCCAAGATATCGAATATTAAATAAGCTTTTTAGAAATTGTAATGATTTGGCAAATTTACGATTTCTCCTCGTAAAGTATCAAATTTTATTTGTTTTTGTAAAAATTATTAATAAAATTCGTAAGTAAATTGCGTACTGTTTTATAAAATATATTTTGCGAAAACATGTAGCTTTTTGCACCATTTCCTGCAGCCCGGCTAGCATGGGCGGGGGACAAAAATTTTATCCCCCGATTATATCCACTGACAAGAGATAAAATTATCTTGTTATGTCAAACGGGGAGAAGTATATCCCCGTTTGACATAACGAGTAGACATATATCCCCCGTCCGTAGCATGGAGCCAAATGAAAGATAAAAAATTATGTTTTTTTGACATTTGAAAGGGACAATTTTATCCTAGTTCACTGGACGTGGGTTGAAGTTTATATTCATACAAAAAATCTATCTAAGTCTAAGTCTATCTCCCAATTTATCTACTGTGGATATTATATCCATCGGTGTGCCCATGCTCTATGGGTGGATAAAACTAAGCGAGGGGATAAACATTTTCTCCTTTCCCCGGGGATAAAATTGTCTCCTGCCCATGCTAGCCCTGCAGGAACTATCTGTCCGTGGGGCCACGTGCGGTGAAGTTTCTAAAAGAACTATACTTGCACCTGATCATAGGCTGGCGATTTTTTTGGTTCCTATTGGAGGCCAATGCCATACACGTTCCAGTTTACTTTCTATGTAATATCAACAATTCTTTGAAATTTGAAGACAATGATCGAGCATATAAATCAATTGCATCATATCTTGAATTTTACTCGGTCAAAAAACTGTGGTAATTCGAGAAATACTTGTTAAAATCAATTAGTAAACGCGGCCGATTCAATGCTCTGTTTGATATTCTGGCAGTAAATAAACAATCTAGGTGAGTTACGAGTATATATAAAGTTATAAAATAGATACTAATTTTAGGGTAATTATTTCGCACCGATGATATTTTATACAGCGTGGTATCTTTAAAATATTTTAAAATGATATTTAAGTTTTTTTTTCTCATTATTACCTGTATATTGAGAAAGGCATTTTGATGAAATTTGAGAAACACAAAAGTGTAAATTGAAAATAAAAGAATGATAAGGGATCTGATGTACATTACTTTGATAAGCAAAAGAATGTTAAAAATATGTCTTGTATAATAATACTCGTATATCTAAATAAAGTTCGAATGAAAAAATAAAGCACAAAATGACGCACTCTTATAACCAAATGCATTATAATTTTGATGTACACTTTCACGTAGCAAGTCTGCGTGAAAAAGTCTTTAATTTCTTCACGGATTTCTACCAGCGACAAATTTCTAAAATAAAACATACAGGCAACGAGGCACTAAATTATCCGGATCTACTAGTGTTCCGTGTAAAGCCGAAACTAGACAAGATCGGAGGTAGCATAAATTGACAATTAGTGTTTGTGGACAAATGTTGGTTCTGGTCCGGATCCAAGTTCGAATTCAAGCTTTTGAATGACTACTAAAAGCAAACGTCAAAATATATCATGTAGGTAATGTAACTATCGTAATAAAAGTAGGTACAAGTTGATTGCTATTATGAGCGATACTTGTATTGTAATAATTAATAACATTTTAAAAGATATAATACTATTATTGAAATATTTCATGGCAAATAATGTTCCACACGGATGTACTAAAATTCTGGCCTCGGAGTAGTGCGCAATGGCACAAGCCCCTCGCCCGCCGTACTTTGACCTTGTAGGTACAATAGACTGACTCTCTTGCTCCACAGCCTCCATGCCGCGCTTGTTTAAAAATTTAGTCACACGTCCGATCCGCTTTGCATAGCCAGCCATGTTTACTAAACGCCGCACACATAAAATTACGTATTCGTGCGATGAGACAATAAACTGTCTGTAGAAAGTTTTCCAGAATTGCAACTGGTTCTTGTGCCAATATGTTTTATTTACTATCGATCGTTATAAATTACAAAACAAAGCTACGAAATCAAAATTTATTTGGTAGCTGATATTTTGAATTAATTAACGTGATAATTTATTTTTCGACTTTCTCGTGAAATGTGTCCATGTACATTAAGGTGCTTCTGAACGAATCATACCTGCCTAATTAATAATTATATATATTGCAATATATAGAAGCCTATATTAAATACTGGTATTTAGAGCAATCTTATGAAATATACAAAAAATTATCTATTTATATAATAATTTACGGCGTGTAGTGGTGGCGTAAATGAATCCACTACCCCATATTATATTATCATCCCATGGGTGTCATAAGAGACATCATAGGGAACTGGAAGTAGGACGTGGATTCTTCCTGATAACAACCAAATAATAATGAAAAAACCTGCGGTTGTAAACCCGCATGCCAAGCGTATAGCAACAAATATAATGTATATACTATAATATATTTAATATATATATATATATATATATATATATATATTTAATAGGTTGAAGATTAGAAAAACAGATGATAATGATGATTCAATAGTTTATGTACTACACATACTACATTTATTAATATCGCATTTATTAATACGTACGTTTTCACTTCATTTCAATATAAAAAATAGATAATCGAAAATAAATAATTTTAAATTAAAAATGTTGTACAACTGACTTCAATACTTATAAATAAAAGTGTGAACGTCACACATACAAAACATACAGTCTAATTGAGTACCGTCTCCTTTTTGAAGTCGGTAGAAAATCAAAAATTGCACAAAGGCAATGCTTATTCCGTTTTGAAATATATTTAAGCAAGCCTGTTGAACGATAATTGTAAGAAATAGAGGCAGGTTTAGTACCTATATTATTTTATACAATATACATTATACTATATGAGCAGCCAACTAGCTTAATAATCCTTTCAGTTAACAGCCTATCCTTTTTACTAACTGTTTAATTAGCGGCCTGAATGATATTCAGCCCATGCTTTTCAGTCGATGCGTCTAATACATTTCATGCCTAATTATGCACTATGTGCTATATTATGTAAATATACGCGGCTTTAGAATGACCCTTGTGCCGCCTCAGCCGCACCTTAACCTTCTGTCACTGCTATTACAAAAAAGTTACAATGTTGTATTAGACGACGCTGGGCTAGGCTGTTAATTGAAAGGCTGTTTAAGCTAGTTGACTGCGACGGAAACATATATTACAATAATGCCAGAAAAATCTTATAGCTTCCAACGATTAAGCGGCGGTATACAATCTCGTTTACGTCAGACGTGAAATACCTACGGCAGCAGTGCCAAAGTTACGAGGCGTCTTTTACGGCGATCGTCAATTCGCCATTCCTTAATCGTCACACACCCATTCCATTGAAGTTGTTGTGATCCAAGTCCAGCTGTGGACTTTTATGGGCTGTGGATGGTGATGATGATGAAGAAGATGAGAATGAATAGCTAAGACATGGTGATCAATATCACAGCCACATATTGTCGCGTAAGTAAAACCCGTATAGAAGCACCTTAATATAACTGGCTTGAAAGTAAAACAGATCTGAAAAAGTATTGTTTTAAAAAGCTTTATTAGAACGATCTAGTTTATATTTATTTAAGATTTTGGCATTACTCGCATAAAGTGTCTACTCCAAATATAAAAGTTGACTACAGTTGATCTATTTTTAATGAATACCTACAAGTACCGTGGCAGCTCATTGGCTTAGTGCTCGCCGCAAATTACACAGTATTACAACCTCGCTTCGATTCCAGCCGGCACCAATTAATTTCTAATTGCAATTTTAAGGCACTTGTCTCACCGCCGACGTTGAAGCGATTAGCTATCGACTATTTTCTCGCTCAAGAAACGAATTATAGATATAGATCCCTTGTCAATAAAAGAGATACGTAATATATTAATAGTTGATCGCTGGCTGTTCACACTGCCGGCATGAAGCTCTCTCTCCACTAGTTTGCCGAAGTGATATGAGCTAACAAAGATAAAACTCGCTCAGCGATGCTCGCTTGGCGGTAATTTTACTCTACAGTGTGGATCTGAGTGCACTCGTTTATATGGCCCAGCGACAAAACTATCGGAACTACACACTCGTTTCTCGTTCATCGTTGGCGGTGTTCGGACAAGTGTCGACGTTCTGATTTACCACTTGCTCGGCGTTTAATGAAAACATCGATCATGTGAGGAAGCCTCTTGTTTGAGGAATAAAATATTTCCGGGACATGTTGTGAAGTCCGCCAACACGTACAGCGCTGCCTAAAACTTAAGTTAATTGATATAAGCAACTCCATAAAAAATCCAAATATGAGATGAAAATATCACATGCTGTGTTCAGTAATTATTAAAATAATAAAACAAATTTGGAAAACGAAACACATTCGATTTGGTTAACTCCAATTCTCTATGCATAAATATGAGTAGTAACTAAGTTAAATGCCAAGGTAAACCGGTCGCACAATCACCGTATCTTTGCGCGGACAATAAGTACATGTATTACGTATTTTCGCAAGCATTATGTCGCTATATAAGTTAAGGTTAATAAATGCATAATGGTCAGTATCAAGTAAAAGTATCGCGGAGTACTTATAAATAATTACAAAGAGCATCGTCAACGCCGAGGAGTTGATTATAATATACCTAACTAATCGCACCATTCGTTAGAAAGACAGGCCGGATATTCTAGAAGTGGGTCAAGTAAAACTTGTTAACCGTTAACTTCTTTTTTATTATAATAAATAAAAACATTATTAAAAAGCATGTAGAAAAATATTTTCAAGAAGAATATTTTTAAACTATATAAAACTTGTTAATATAATAACAGAATTGACCATAACAAGAGTTTTTATGTCAAAAGTCAAATTAACTTATGTAAAAAACTTGCATAGAAAATAATGTTTAGAAAAATAGAGGCGTGGTATATGTCGGCGAAGTCGACAGCGTTGAAAGTTAATCCGCGGGATGAAAGTGAAATTGTTAACTTTCATGTTTAAAGAACATCTTCGCAAACATCAGACGCATAACGTCGACCAACATAGCACCATCCAAATAAATAAAATACACGATTGTTTTTTGTTTGTTTGATCGCAATAGCCAGAGAGACAACAAAGGTTATGATAGCATAATAATGAATATGATACAGTTATCATTAAAATTAAATTTTAAGCATCGTAAAAAAGGTTTTAGCATGAAGTTTTATACATAATATAGATGATACGATTAAAGATATAGGTTATTTTTAGAAAATTTGTTGAGCTCATTTCTCTTACTTGTAAGAAAACGTTAACGTTTCGGTCAGCGACTGGGAAAGCATAATAATATACCTACTTATTTCGAGATCATGAATTTATTACAGCAGATTCGAAAGAACTTTTACATTTTTAACGAATCTACAGAATATGATTATTTTGGCTTTATTGCTACAAGTATTGTAATTTTGCTAATGGCAATAAGCTCGTAATTTCGAGCGATGAAAGAAATATTAGTGACAAAAAATACGTAATGCCAATTACTAATTGATTATTTACCAAGGGTCGCACTAATTTTCGTTAATAAATTAGAGTCAAGTAACAAAATGCACTAAAATTATGCATAAATGAAATTATTTCTCGTTTAATTTTATATCAAAAGGGTTTTTAACACATATTACTACATACAAAAATAATATACAGACCTGTCCTTTAGAGATGATGAAGAATGTGTCACCTCTTGCTCCTTGTCTGATAATATAATCGCCATTTTGGTAATGTGTCTCTTCCAGCACATCCGAGATCTTAATTAACGTATCTTCAGGTAAGTTTTTGAAGATTGGAACACTGTGGACAAAATAATGAAAATTACTTACTAGAATTTTAGCTTATTAGAATTACAAAGTTATTTATGTTGACGATAATGATGATCTAATAAATTGCGGCAACAATTTGCACATTTTTGGCTGTACAAAACTTATATATACCTATTTACCATTGTTTGTGTCTATAATACTTTTCTATGGTGTTTAAAAAGGCAACACAATACAATGCAAAACAATACTCTCTATTGCATACCAAAAGAAAACAAATGACATAATAAAAATTAAACATAGAGAGTAACAAAAGGCGGTCTTGTTGCTATACAGCATTTTTTTCCAAATAACCTATAAGAAGCACTATAGATATTATTATAAACTAAAATAGGAACTAAAAGGACAACATAAGTACTTAAAATGATAGCCTAATGATGATAAAAAAAACTGAAAAAAAAAGGAGGAAGGAGAAATAACAAAGAAAAAATAAATAAGAAAGAAATATAACAAAGGGTATCTCAACTTAAAGGAATATGTTTTATAAACATGTTTAACAGACATCGGTAAGGAGTTCTAAAGCTTCAAGAACTGAACTGTTCCAAGAACTGAAAAATATTTTTTGTAAAAATTAGAGAAGTTGAAAACATTATTTGACGTAGGGTAGACTATTATATAAATCAATACATTCGGGTAATAGGTATCCAAATAAATACAGGTGATGTGAGAAGGAGAAGAAATGCAGTTCTAGCAATATTGAGAATTTTATTGTGTAGCAAAACATATTCAAATATAAAAGATTGTAAGCTTTTCCTCTTTAATTAATAATTAAAAGCTAATGAAAGCCTAGGTTACTATGAATTACGGATATAAAACATCACAACCATGAAGTGGTTGGGTGCTGCAAAGCACTCGAATTGTCGGAGTTATATTTAAAATAAACTTTATAAAGTCCGTAACAGTTAGTTCAAAATAACTTCATTTACATGTTTTTTATAGATATATACAACTAAGTTGCTGGTCAGTAGATGTAGTGGCCCACAGATATCTAAATCTATACCCGATTAAGAATCAAAATGCAGTTGGGCTGTCACCCCTGAGGACTAAAATGCAATGCCTCGTTCCCCGTAAATATCCAAAAAAATCTCGGTTCTCTACACTCACCAAACGCAACACAGCAGTAGTATGCTGCTGTTTCATGCTGGTATTCTGTGAAAGTCTGGTCCTTCCTCGGTTGAGCCGACTCATTCGCGCTACAAACATAAGAGTAGCTACAGCGCGGCTTTACCACGTAAAGTTTTTGTGTAAAGACAACACGTTACATACAATTTTCACGCCAGAAATGACTCATTTTTATGGCTCAATAATTATTATTACATACTCGTAACATCTCATAAATACATAATTAATTATATTTAAATACAGATTTGTTGTCTTTATTTGCCCGTAGGTGCAACATGTTTATTAATGGCTTATATCATAATATTTAATTAAGGTTTTAAATAGATAATGCTTATTTCTATTTTCTTTCCATTTAATATCAATGTTTAAATGTGAATCTTGATTTATACTTATTATCTTATGCACTTGACATTTAGAACTTCCTTAATACCTTAATGATATAATTTCAAATAAAACAATCCGAACAATTTAAGGTCAGTTGACGGTCCAAGTACGTTCGGACTAAAGAGAATGTCATTAAAAAGATTTTTAAGTTTTTACCGATGAAACTAGACGAATTGGTAGCGCAGAGACTAAGGATTGTAATTTATGTAGGTACATATGTACATGAGTCTTCACGATACAGGAGAAAATCCTAATGTAGGGATAACAATTTTTACAAAAATATAAACAAGTCCTTAGACACATCTCGGTAAATAAAGATTTAAGCGAATAAATAGTCAGTTCCCGACGTTTTTAGTGATTTACAGTAGTCATTCTTCATACTCGAAGGGTTTAAATAAGTTAAACAGGATCAGCTATATTCAATGAGTGATCAGTATTATTATAGATTAATTTTTTTGGATTTCGTTAAAATAATAATGTCCTTCAGCCCGAATTTCGGTCACGGCGTCCAGTTTCAATGGAGACTTGCCATCCGTACAGGACAAAATTACGAGTAAGTCAGAAGTACGACTGCATAATAATTTTAGTTTTTAGGTGTTTTTTATAGTTATAAACATTGTATAATATTCTGTTATGTAAAAAAGTGTGTTGATTGTACAACAGTGTATAATTTATTGCACATTATCACGCAATCGAATAAAAAACTAATATGACAAACAGCTATGAGCAGTGTTAGTGGTCAGCATTCTGGCCCGTTGTGTCATGTCATGGCCACCTAGTTGAACTCAAACCAAAGTATTTATTTGTGTGTGACGTTTTTTGACATTTTTTTCAGGTTTAGCATTGTTAACTCTGATCTATTAATATAACCGCTATATCATATTTAAAATATATAAACATTGCCACTGAGATTTACTAAATGTTTACGGAACTTACTACTAATATGTTTTAAAAATATACTATCGTTACCGTTCAGTTACAGCCTATTAAAGTTCACTGCTGAACACAGGCCTCTCCCATAGATTAACTCAAAGGGGGGTTATTTGCTATAGTTTGGGTGGCATGGGTTGACAACTGCGTTTTTTTTTTTAAATTTTAGCCGTTATTAGAAAGACACTGCTGCCCATTTGATTTGTTTCCCTCTGTCGCCTCTTACGACTGGGGTACGATATGAGGTAGTGGATATTCTTACATCGCTACTACACGGTGTTATAAAGAATATACTAAATAAAATAAAACAAAACATACATTGTTTACGATCATACTGCCAATGTCTCAAAGTGCAAGCGTATTATGTAGGTATGTTATTACCCCAAGGTTAATATTAAACACTTAATAACCTGTGGTCAAACAGTCGCATAAAGTAAAGGTTGTCGCCAAAGAATTTTAAAATGTTGGCAACAAATAATTACTGACAAATTCACTTTGGTTTTGTGTGATTTCAAATGTTCCTTTTTCAATTGTGTGTGGAGCGTGTGTCAAGGAAAAATAGCATTTATTTTATATGTTTTGTGTACACGTTTATCTATTAAATATTTTTGTGTAGTAGCTTGCTTAATTAACTAACCTAAAATTTAATTGCATATATAGTCGAATTTCGACTACTGGGTGAGACCACTAGTATACAATAAAACTATCATTGACAGAATTGATGTATGTGTGTGTATATGTATATAAAATGTGAAATTCCGCTATAAAGAGTGCATTTAAACTGTTCGTCACAGTGAGCGCAAATGTAAATGGCGTTCATCGCTGCTCCGTCATGGTCAACCAGTATTTTTTACTGAGTCAAGCCTGATAAACATTGAACTTTTATTTTTATTGTGCACACTTTACTTTATAATATACTAATGTATATATTTCATGCATATAATATTATTATTTTAAAATTTAGTTGAAACCGTGCTGTAACAATGTTACATAATCCTATCGTGACTTCATCTTAAAATATTATTTGATAAAAAAAATATTAACTCATACATAAATAAAACAGGATATGGGCAGCAGAATCTTCTTGTTAGCAATTTGAAATAATAAAAAACTGCTATTGTCAACCAAGCAGGGCAATTATCGCAAATGTCCCTTGTGAGATATGAATGAAAAGAAATGGGGTGACAAACGAGCATACAGTCTAACTGATAATAAGTGGATGTGTTGTTACCCCTGAGGACTACGATGGAATGCCTCATTTCCAGTACAAGGTCACCGATTCTCTGCACTCACCGTACGAAATACAGCAGCATTAAGCTGCTATTTTACGCTGGTACTCTGTGAGAGCGTGGTCCTTCCCAGAGCCGACCTATACGTGCTACAACCGTAATATAACTGTAGCGTGGCTCAACCACGTAATAAGTTATGCAACTGTTTTATCTAGTAAATGCAGTCTTAACTGTAATTAAATTAGATTAAATTTTTCAATAGACGTAGTTAACGAAAAGTGACAATATTTTGCTATCAATAAAAATAATCATACTTATTCGATGAGATCCATAAGCCAGGCATAAAATACACGGACCGGCTAAGGGAAACAGCGTCACAGTTGCAAAACACCTGCCTGTCAAACGTGACAATTATGGTAATCTCTTTTTACAACGGCTCTTTGTCCAGCCGTTGACTGGACTGATGGAGTAGATGTATAATAAAAAGTTCATTAAAAGAAAAATCTTTAGGTACAATTTTCATTGTGTACTAGTAACATGTTCAACAACAACACTAGATGGAGTGACGACCTGGTAAGACATGCAGGAAGTCGATGGATGCAGGTGGATCTGGACCGTGCTTTGTGGCATTCTTTGCCTATGTTCAGTAATGCAATTTTGAAGGGTTATAATGATGATAATTATAAAGATGATGAAATGTTATTTTCTTATTAAAGTGTTCAATTAACTTAAAAAATCTCATTATTTAAAAAAAGTATCTAAGTATTATTATTTATTATGTTATCATACAAGCAATGGAAGGACGTCGAACTTTTAATTTTCAGAACGTCAATTGCAGTTTGATAAAGGATATCACGTCCTCCTGTGACACATCGCGACGCAGTGAAAGGCTCACTAATTGAAATGTCACGATCCGCACGAATGCGACAACTATTTCGCAATGTTGCCCACGAGTCGCTTGAGCAAGAGTAGTGCAATAGAATTTCGTCAAAGTCGTTGATTTAACTGAAGAAAATATAAAACGTCTTTAAAATCAGAGCACACCTTGGAACTAGATGAGGTTTTGGTGACTTATGTCAATTGTTAGAAAGAAAGAAACAAAGAGTCACAGTTGTTGGTGTACATTATTATACAAGTTTGAAATGTGAAGAATGTAAGTTTATCAATAAGGATTGAAGTAATAAATGTTGAAAATCTTAACTTACATATCGTGCAATACAGTTCAGTCACGCTACTAAGAAATTTAAAAGCAATCTCCGGGATTAATTATGATAATAACAATGTTATTATATATATAACTAGTGTCATC